ATAAAAACGGACATACAATTATAATCTATAAGGCCCATTTGTTTGGGCTTACAATACAATACAGTAGCCCACTTACAACCGCATCATTTTCTAGGGTTTTGAGTCTTCTCGGTTTAAATTTCGCTGCTACTGCTGCTGCTGCTGCTACTTATTCTTCTTTGTTGTCGTTGCCTCAAAATCTATCTAAACCTTCGAACAACCTTCCTCGACCAACATGGGGTATGTTCTCTTGTTATCACTTCTACCTCAATCCGGTTGCTTTGTTTTCTCGTTACCTGCTTATGTTCCATTTTTAAAGTTTCTGAGCTGTTCTTGCTTATTCAACGAAAGGAATGGTTCTTCGTGAGAATTGTTAGTTTCTAAGATCTGGTTTTATGATCTTTTGTTGATTCTTTCAATTGTTTGATTTGAGTGTTGAATTAGATGGGATGGGGGAAATAGATAATTTTTACAGCTCCTGCTTTTAATTTTTGACACTCCGAAAGTTTAAATATTGATGTCTGTTTAGGGTTTATAAATAAGCTGTAAGTGTTGAATTTGAATATAAATTCGGGTTTCTGGTTTCTTTTGTGAGAAGTGACATTAGCTTATCTACATGAAGAAAATGCTTGTTTCGTTCTGATGTTTATAGATTTAGAAGAATCCCAGAGGAATACTATTGAACAAAGCTTGTTTGAAATTATACCTTAAATGATAATTAGAAATTAGAATATAAAATTATTGATTTATGGCTTAATTATGTAATCTTTTAGGAAAACACGTGGTATGGGAGCTGGACGCAAGCTGAGGACTCACCGCAGGAGGCAGAGGTGGGCCGATAAGGCATACAAGAAGTCTAACCTTGGAAATGAATGGAAGAAGCCATTTGCTGGTTCTTCCCATGCCAAAGGAATTGTACTTGAGAAGATGTAATGCAATTCTATATCCTTTTTTTTCATTTCACTCTTTTGTTTTCATTGAACTCCGATTCAAGAAAGATCACTGATGGCTTCGGAACCTGCAGCGGTATTGAGGCCAAGCAGCCAAACTCTGCTATCAGAAAGTGTGCTAGAGTTCAGTTGATCAAGAATGGCAAGAAGATTGCTGCTTTCGTTCCGAACGATGGTTGCTTAAACTACATCGAAGAGAATGTGAGTATTAGCACACAACCGAAATTATTTAAGTATTGTTTTTTCCAGTACTCTTCTGATGATCAATAATATATTGAATTAGGATGAGGTTGATTGCTGGATTCGGTCGAAAGGGTCATGCAGTGGGTGATATTCCCGGAGTTCGATTCAAGGTTGTGAAGGTTTCTGGTGTTTCCCTCTTGGCACTCTTCAAAGAGAAAAAGGAGAAGCCTAGATCCTAACTTTGCAATGAGGCCGATTCTTTGGTGATCTTTCAGTAGTTCTAATTAAAACTGAGAGCATTATATTGCATGGTAGCTTTTCGGTACAATATCATTTTGTTTATCTTCGGGCTATCTTTGTATTGAACTTTGGTGTCGATTTTCATAAAAGGATTTGGTGCTTTATTGCAGTTCCAAACTGTTCTTTCTTCTCCATGCTATGGTTTAGATTGATTACATTATTTATATATATAACTGCTTAGGATTGTACTAGAACTTTTTTTTTTGCTTGGGTCCAGTCTAGTTGGGTTCGGAAATTAATTGGGATTGAGCTTATTCCGCTAAATGTGTAGTTCAGTATGACCAGCTGTGGCCAAGTCCCAATCTTCCATTATCTAGATTCTCATTTGTCGTCCTGTTGATTGGAAGCTGGAGCCAGAGATGTATTATTTAGGAAGATTGTCAATGTCCAATGATCCCCAAGAATATAGAAAGGTGTCCAATGATTTTTGAATTTATTATCAATTATATAAATTGGGTTTGAACATTTTAAGTTAAAATCCGTCCCAAATCAGCCTAGGTAGGGTTGCACAGAAGTCGGATTTCAATCCGATCTGGATCGGTTTTATCCGATCCGGATCGGTTTTATCCGATCCGGTTTTTTCCCATAGAAAAAAACCGGTTTATAAAATAACCGGTTCGGTTTCTAACCAGTTTGGAGGGCCGGATATCCTAACCGGTGTAATCGGTTTTGGTTTTAAAAAACCGGTTTTTTAAAAAATCGGTTATAAAAAAACCGATTTTAATATTATTAAAATTACATCGTCATCAATTGCGGTGTAAGATTCGATTGACTAGGATCCGATCTTGAGCGAAGTGCCTTGCATGATTTTGTCAAATGGTTCTTCAACGTTGTGTTTCCTTCCGATGCAAGAAACTTTAGACAAAGTTTACAACGCGCCCTCCTCGAGCCATTTGACATCTCACATAAATCGTAGTGATCTCAAATATCTTTGTTTCGAGTGTGTTCGATCACTCTCATGACTTCAAGGTTTCCCCCGACGGAAGATTCAGCCGTGTTACTCATGATGAACAAAAAATTACAAAATAAGATTTGAGAGATGTTTAGGTGTTGTGTAATAAGATTTGAGAAAGTTGTAATCAACCAAATACACCCTAACCTATTTATACATGTTTAGGGTGGTAAAATGGTAATTTTTAAAGAAAAAAAAACGGTCAAAAACGTCACAAAACCCCCCAACGGTTATATTAACGGCTAATTTTTTAAACCGACCGATTTTTTCCGGATAAAAATGGTTTTTTAACCGGTTTTTTTCAAACGGTTTTTTATCCGTAAAAAAACCAGTCTAGGTTTTTTCTCTAAATCGGTTAAAATAGGTTTAAAAAAATCGATCCAGTTAAAAAAATCGATTTTTTCCAAATCCGGTTTCGGATATTTTTTTCGTAAAATCAGATATTCGGATTTTTTGTGCACCCTAAGCCTAGGTAGGTTAGGCTGTTGCACACCAAATTACCCGTAATTTAGTTGGAAGAACAAGTAGAGCAATTTTTCATTACAAGCTTGGAGAGATTTGCATAGAGGTTTTAAGAGGGAAAAATAACATTAACAAAATGAACTTAAGTTTCATGTTTAATTCGGAAAGGAAATGAGGGTCATCATCTTTTATTAAACGAAAAGTAGCCTCCGGGTTATGTCATCTTACTGAAAATACAGCAAATGCCAATGATGAATTGCTTTCAGGAGAAAATAATAATAATCTATTTTGAAGCTTTTTCGAAACAATTTGTATAGGAGAATAATCAACGAAACGTGGGATAAAGCTGAGGACGGAGGGCTTATTCAGGCGAATGGATGAGTCAAGGCAATCATCTTCTTCGAAAGAAACGTGGATGAGGCTCAGCTCAGCCCCTTGGAAACCGAATTGTAAAATGAAATACAATTTCGGATTGCGAAAATATAAAAAAATTATTAAAATACGTAAAACAACTCCAATTCAGATTAAAGTGGAACCATCCTTGCCCTATATAGACATATAAAAAAGAGAATAATTTCAGTGATCGAAAATATCTTATAATATATGATTTTAATCAATTCTTTTTGGATTTACAAAAATAACCAACAAATTCGCAACGCGAACTCCTATTTCGCAACACAGTTTCCAAATTCGCAATGCAAACATGGAAATTTTCGCAACCCTAATTACCGATATAGGTAAACACAACTATTCGTACACGAATTTCGTTTTCGCAATGCGAATTTGGAATTCGCAACACAGAATTAGAATTCACAACTCGAACATGAAAATTTTCGCAACGCGAGTTTCGTTTTCGCAACGCTAATTACCAATATAAGTAAACACAACTATTCACAACGCAAATTTCATTTTCGTAACGCGAATTCGCCAATTTCGTAACTAAATTACCGATATAGGTAAACATGGTAGAAAAAATCTATTCAACAATCCGAATTCACCAATTTGAAAACTGAGTTGCGAATTTGGTAAATTCGTGTTACGAAATGTAAAATCTCGCCTCTTAAAGAAAAAATCATTTCGACAGTTCGTTTGTTTGGTTAAAGTTAAACGAACGAACATGAACATACCTTCGTTCGTGTTTGTTCAATTCATTTACAGACGTAAGTTTAACTGAGTAATTCATACGTGAACTTAACAACTAGGATATCCTAGGTTGAAAATACTCCAATGCATTTTATGTCCTTTAATTTTTTTTTAAGAAACGAAATTTTACATTTCGTAACACGAATTTGTCAAATTCACAACTCAGTTTTTAAATTGTCAAATTCAAATTTTTTACCGAATTTTTTCTACCGTGTTTACCTATATCGGTAATTGAATTACGAATTCAAGTTACGAAATTGGCGAATTCGCATTGCGAAAACGAAATTCACGTTGCGAACATTTCTATGTTCGTGTTGCGAATTTGAAAACTGTATTACGAAATAGGAATTCGCGTTGCGAATTTATTGATTATTTTTGCAAATCCAAAAAAAATTAGTTAAAATCGTATATTATAAAGCATTTTCGGTACTTAAAATTATTTTCTCATATAAAAATCGATATTTGAATCTCAAAACTATTGCAAATAGAAATAAAGCAAAGTGGTCAGTCCTATATTGCCAACTGTTTGATCCCATCATTTTCAATATAACCTACCACCATCAATAATGTTATCACACCTCATAAAACAATAGCATTTACAAGTTCAAACCTTTCCCTGCGAATGCTTAAGCTGTTACCTCTCTCTGGACATCAACTTGACTAGAATCCAATTCATGAAGCAGGCAGCATTTTAATCTCCACTTCTTCCATCCACTCTGCTCTTCTTACCATCACCTTGGGAAGCTTCGCTTGATGTGGAAGCCAGTCGCTTGAGGCGGTAAATAATGGTGAGGGTCCGAAAATGCTGTATTTTCCAGAACTGCTGAAAGCCGTTTCTGCATCCGTTTGCCTTTTAAAAACACCTTGACCTGTATGCTCTTTCTGAACACTTCAGTCCCTCTCGTATCCAAAGGAAAATAACGGCTAAATATCTGATTCAGCTCTTCTACCGCGGGAACTGAATCAATGTCTGAAAATTTTAGGATCAAAGAAGTTGGAGAGTGATCCTCTGCTTCCATTCCAAGATTTTCATCTACAGCTGCATGTTTCTGTTCAGAATCCAAATTGGCACATGCTTTAGCAGCTGACTGTGATTCAACAACCAAAAAACTGTTCCCCGCGGTTTGGTTGTTCTTGTCAATTGTTAACTGCTCTTCAGGAAAGTATTGGATTATCCTTTCAGAACAAGAGGAGTCTTCGATTGAGGTGAACTCAGACATCCCGGTAAGCTTGAACTTGATTGATTTCTCCCCCATTATGGCATCAGTTCCTTGTTCCAAAGATCGTTCAGACATTTAAGAGTTGTTAATATCCATAGTAATTGAATTCCTCAACTCAGTAAAGAAAAAAACTATAGAGGCCAAGAAATTGTACCCTTTCAAGGGATCTGTAGCAGCCAAATGAAGCTGTGAGAGCATCTTATCAGAAGAGATATCTGTTTCAGGAACCTTCTTCCCTCGTGATTTACCAGAAGAAGATTTTCCTTTACTTTTATTACCAGCTGCCGCCTTCAGAGATTTCCCATCAGAATGCTTTAGTAACGGTGTCGAAAATATTGAACCACTCAGTTGGCTTGCAACCCTAAGAATGCTAGCTCCAACTCCAAAAGTTTGCTTAGACTGTAGAGGCTTATCAACAGATGCTGTTGACAAACTATTTTTATTCTGTTTCATTGCCAAGTCCTTGCACACAGGGTCAACAGCCTTTTGCTTTTTAGCAGGGGGTGAAGACATTGACTTGTCATCACCTTTTTTATTCAATTTCCTTTTAACATTTTGCAAATTCAAGCCCCTTTCAGCTATGAACTCTGACAAGCTTTTCTCCTTTTTTCCGGAAACTGTAAGTTTCTTTTGTTTAGAAGTTGAGCCATCTCGGCTATCTTGCTCCTCTTCTTCAAAGTACACCCTTTTGTCAACTTTGACACTAGGAACTTCATTTTCTCTCAGTTTGCTACATTTCTTCATTTCCTCAGACAGAGGGATTTCAGCATTAGTCTCCAACGATCCGCAAATATTTTGAAACTCCGGTAGCTGAGAATAACCCTTCCAATGATGGAATGCTAACAATTGCGCCTGTGATATTGTGAATTGCAATCTATCAACGTTGGTATAAGAAGGTGATTGAGCCAATTTTTCCATAGTTTTAACAAGTTCCAAAGGGTCAAAGGAGGAAGCACTCGAAAACCTATCCCCACCGTCTCGTCTGCTAGATTCTTCCCGGATCCCAGTATTAGCAATTATCTCAGTTTTAATCTGGGAATATGCTTCCTCCGAAATGCAAGAACAGGCCAGACCAAACTCTACCCGTCTAGAAACCTCATCCAAAGCACAATCCACAGCATGGTGAAACTCTTCCATATTGGTCTTCTTTTCCATATGTGAGAAATAAGACCTAAAGGGTTTGATCTGAGATGCCTCGTTCCAAGCAAATGTCTGATCACCATAATATGCAATCAAATAACTTCCCTTTTTGAAATACTTCTTTGCCTTTGCAGTAGCAGCAGAACTATCAAATATCTGCCCTGGCCACCATGGATGACTCCTTACTTTACCCCACACTAAATCAGAGACACAAAATTCCGGCACTTCAGGTTTCGCATCGACATCAGATGATCCATCCTCATAGGTGCTTGTAGTTTGATTCGAGTTTTCTGCATCCTGTGAATTCCTTTCACCTTGGATCACAGTAGCTTGATTCTTTTTGGTACTATCGGGTGTGCCAGTTTCCATATCACAATTTTCTAATCCACCAGAAGATCCTTCCTTTCCTTTGAACTCATTTTCTGGTCCTCATCAGGTAAACAACTTTGAACAGCTGAAGAAAGAGGCCTCCCATCACCAGAATGAATAGTATTATCAGCAAGTGAGCTCGACCGGACACTAGTTCCCTCTATCAACGAGTCCTCATTAGGAGAAGTGCTAACATTAAGGTCCTCAGTAACCCCACCAGTAGACCCCGCAGCCATTTGTTCATCCTCCACGGGTTTGTCGTCTTCCATGGAACCAATCTTTCCATCTCCATCTCCAGTTCCTGCACCTCCATCAACCTCCATCAAAGAAGCCCCACCTGAACTCAACCTGGCACTAACTTTATCATCAACAACTTCACCTAAAGAACCAACATCAGCTTCCAAATCTATCCCTCGACTCTTCACACTCTTAATCTTGCTTTCTTTCCCCAACTCATCAACTCCAGCAGCCAACACAGTTTCGGTTAAACAAGAGGTGGCCAATCCAGAGGCAGGCTGCCCAACAATAACATCACTTCTCTCGTTTTCTTGGTGAACCGGAACAGCATCACAGTTCAAGTCGATTTCTTCGGGAACTTTGTTCGACATTAAGGTGTACCCTAAACATAAAATAAGAAAGCAATAATCAAAAACCCTAAATCACTATAAAACAAAACAAACCCCTAATAAGAAAGCAATAATCAAGAACCCTAAATCACTATAAAACAAAACAAACCCCTAATTTTTGGTGAACCCTAAAGATAAAAGTACTGATAAATACCTAATTTCGCACACAAGTAACATTAACAAAAGAGGAAGCTGCGTACCGTGGTTTACTTGGATCGGGAGCTTTACAGAAACGAGGGGTGCCCTAGTTTTAAGAGTAGTAAGAAATAGGAAGGGAAGTCGTGTTTTGTGTGTGCACCGGAACTGCTGTTTTAGTTTCAAAGTACGACCAGACGTGGCGGAGATCGGAGCGCTTTAGTTTAAAAGAGAATAGAAAAACACGTACATGGAGAAAATATCTGTAATACTGATATTATACTATAGTTAGTCATTACTTTTTATTTTTATTTCAAATCTAAAAAATTATTTTTTTTTGGTAATATTTCATCAATTTAATCTTTTTTTTTGTCTATAAGTATAATATCAAAAATATCCTTAAATTTTGATTACGGATTCCTTTTGAGTCTTATTTTTTACAACATTTTTATTCTCTAAATAATTTTATTTAAGATAAAATGATTTCTAATATTTTATTAAATAGTCACTTTAATTTATATTCTTTATTCTTTAAATATTTTGACCATTGATATCTTATTTCAAGATAAAAAAATTTCCTATTTTTGAGCGATATAATTGTATGTTGATCTACTATTTTTATCCACAAAGAGATAACTTTTCTCCAAAATTAAAATTCATGATCATAATTAGAGATGCATATAGCTGGATTTAAATCCGATCTGGATTGGATAAAAATCGATCTGATTTTTTCACTAAGTCAAAAAATCGGTTTATAAAAAAATCGGTTCGGATCATAACCGGTTTGGAGGGCCGGATGATGTAACCAGTTTTGGTTTGAAAAAATCGGTTTTTTAAAAAAGCCGGTTTTCAATCTGGTAAAAAATCCGAAAAAATCCGGTCATCCAATTTTTTAAACCCTAGACCGGATTTTTTTCCCGGATAAAAAACCAGTTTTTTATCCAGTTTTTTCAAACCGGTTATACTATCCGTTTTTAAAATATCCGATCCGGTTTAAAAAAAATCGGTTTTTCCTAAATCCGATTTCGGATATTTTTGCGCAAAATCGAATATTCAGATTTTTTGTGCACCTCTAATCATAATGAATGACAATCACAAATTTTAGATTAATTTCCAGACAATCACTCACCTTTTAATTACATATAGGAAAGAGGTAAGAATTCAACTTGGGAAAAAATGATATGGAGAAATGTTATTGGTTTGGACCACGGATGACGTGGTAAGTTGATACCATCTAATAATTTCTCAAACTTATAGTTGAGGAATTATTTGATGGATCTGGTTCATCACGTCATCCGTGGTCCTAGTAAATAAGAGTCACAAATTTTAAAATAACTTTCAAATAACTACTTACTTCATATTTACATGTAGGAAAGAAATGAAAATTTACCTTAGAAAAAATAATATGGACAAATGTTATTAATTGAGATTACGAATGACGTGATGAATAAGAATCATCTAATAATTTTATTCTACTTAGCCGATCGATCCTCCACCCATCGAAGGCGAACACCCAACAACTTCATTAATAGTTTTAAGAGAAAATAACTTCAGTGACAAAAAATGCCTTATAATATACGATTTAACTAACTTTTTTTGGATTTGCCAAAATGACCAACTAAATCGCAATGCGATCGATAATTCGCAACGTGATCTCCTGTATTGCAAATAAGTTTCCAGATTCGCAACGCGATTCTGACTATCGCATTGCGATTTTCCAAATTCGCGTTGCGATTTTCCGAATTCGCAATGCGAATATGTAAATTGCAATGCGAATATGTAAATCGTAATGTGATTATGACTATCGCAACGCGATTCTGACTATCGCAACGCGATTCTGACTATCGCAACGCGATTCTGACTGTCGCAACACTGAATTTCAAATTCGCAACAGGTTTTAGTTTCATAACACAAATATTTTGGGTATATAACTACGCAGTAGAAGTAACTCATAACCTAAATCCCTAAATCGCAACTCATTCCATCTTCATTTATCACTCTCTCCGGCGACATCCGTTCCTATATCCAACGACATCCTTCCCCATCCGGCAACAGGTTTTAGTTTCACAACTCGTTTGTTTAGTAAATTAATTTACAATAATGAAATCATCTAATGTTGATCATGTTTGGATAGATTTGTGTTTTGGAGGGTCATGGGAGAATGTTCATAGTGTTTTACAATATATGCCTTTACCCATGAATCTTCAACTAAAACTGTCATTAAAAAAGTTAACTTATGAAACTCTAATGTTACGTGTTGTAAATAAATTGAATTTAGAGCCCTTAAGTGGATTTAGGCTATCTTATCAGAGAAAAGGTAAAGTTTATTTGTTAACCGACAATGAAGATGTTGAACGATTCATTGCTTACATCATTGCTTACATTAGTGTTTCGCAAGATGATGTTACATTGTATGTTGTTGAACCTAGAAGTAGTGAAGTTGGGTCAGTAGCGGGTAGTAATCAACTAAGTTTTTCAACCCCAGTTTATGGTGCTCAAAATTTAATGGTTCCACCACAATTTCATCACCAAGCAAATTTTGTTTCACTACATTTCCAATACCAAACACAATCTCAAAACCCACAACCTTTCCCTAATCCAAATCCCAATCAACTTTCAGCACCAAATTCCGGTTTTCGTATTAACCAGTTAGACGATGATGATCCAACAGAAAATATTGTGAGTACTAGTCGGTATTCGAAATTTGATCTTGGTCAATACCCGGACTTTGATCTTGGTCAATACTCGAATTTTGATGATGTTTCAGAAGAAGAAACATACCTTGTGTGTAATGATTTTGATATTGGTCAATACCCGAATTTTGATGATGAAACAGCCGCTGCCGAGGAAAATGTTGTTGATGATAATAAGGAGGAAGTTACGACTTTGAATGAACATGTTGAACATCCATTCTGTAATTCATATAACCCTGAAGAAGAAAAAGAAGAAGAAGAAATTCCCGAAGAAAAGTCCCCGAAGAAAATGCCACGGGAGTATAACTGGAATATGCCAGAATTACTTCAGATACCGGAAGAAGAGTTGGTAAAAATAGCAGTTGATTGTTACACAAAAAATTATTCGTATCAAGAAAGATGATTGTTTTGATACAAAGAAGACTTGAAGATAGCTTTGTATATGAAATATGTGGAAAATGGCTATCAACTAAAAGTTAACAAATCAAGCAAATATCGTTTCGAAACAAGGTGTATGATTGACAAAAACTGTACGTGGCGTATGATTGCAAAGAGGATAAAAGATTGCGAAATGTTTCAAGTTAGGAATTTTATTGATAAACATACATGTTCAAGAACCCACGTTTTTTCTCACCATAGACAGGCAAACAAAAAGGTGTTGGGTAGTTTTCTAGCTGAGTTAATGTTTTTGAATGGCAGGGTATATCGGGGACATGAAATTATGACTGACATGAATGCTCGGTTCAAGATTAGTATCTCATATTCTCAAGCTTGGAGAGCCAAATGTTATGCCTTGGAATTGTTGAGGGGGTCGCCAGAAGCATCGTTTGCCCAACTGCCGACTTATTGTCACAATTTAAAGCTGAAAAATCATGGGTCGGTAACTCATATCAAAACAGATAGAGATGGACACTTTGAGTTGATGTTTATCGCCATTGGTGCTGCGGTTAGTAAATCAATATAATTTTATTGACTCATTTTTGTTAGTTACATGCATTTCACATTTAAATGATTATATTTCTTGTGTATATGATTTTGTAGATTCGTTCGTTTATTACTTGCATGCGCCCAGTTATTATAGTTGACGGAGCACATTTAAAAGGTCGATACCTTGGAGTAAACTTATTAGCAGTAGCCATGGATGCTAACAATGAGATACTGCCAATAGCTTACGGGGTTGGCAAATCTGAAACCTCTGATTCATGGACATGGTTTATGGGGCATCTTAGGGATTACATAGGTCCTATTAGTAATCTGAAAATCATATCCGATAGGGCAAACTCAATTGACAACGCTGTTAGAAGGTGTTTCCCAGATGCTTTTCATGGACTTTGTGGTGTTCATTTATATAGAAATATAAAATCAAGGTCTGCTGGTATAAAAAATCACAAATGGACATACTGGAAGGCTGTAAAAGCTTATCGGGAATGAATTTTAATAAGCATATAAATTGTTTAAGACGTGTTTTGCCTCAGTGTGCTCAAACACTAGAAGATGTTGGGTTTGAAAGATGGTCAAGAGTACATCAACTTGGACCAAAATATGGTTTCATGACGTCTAATAGTGCAGAATCAATCAACGCTCTAAGTCGTCATTCCCGAAATTACCCATTACTATGTTAATGGAATTTTTCGAGCCTCTATTCAACAGTGATACTACAAGAAAAGAAACCATGCATGTATTATTTCTTTAAATTCATAACTTATCATATATTTTACTAAGTATTATTTATTTAAATTTACAGGAACATCGTGTTACACCATGGACTGAAAAAAAAATAACGAAACGTGTTGTGAAGTCAACGTCATGGAGAGTTGAACCATGTTCAAACACTTTGTTTGAAGTACTGGATAATAACTTAAATGGGCTTGTCGATCTAAATGCAAAGACGTGTAGTTGTATGAAATGGAAAACATCTGGTTATCCGTGTGGGCATGTTATAAAAGTTTCTCTTCATCTAAACCAAGATGATTCAAGCGCATACGCTATGGATTGCTACACTACAGAAGTATATCGACAGACTTATGCCGAGATTATCTACCCTATTTCACATCCTTCTGAGTAGGACATACCAGATGACTTACAAAACTTTGCCACCAGCCATGGACAGAAGGCTACTGGCCGACCAAAAAGTCACGATCGTATACCGTCTAAGGGTGAAGAGAAGAAGAGATCGACATGTAGTCGGTGCAAGGAAAGTGGTCATACAAGGTTGACATGTGGATCACCAGTGCCATCACAATCATCTTTTCCTCTACCAAAATATGGATCCTCATCAAAATCCAAAGCTCATATGGTGTCAAGAAAAAGGCAATCAAAATTGCAATCAAAATCAAAATCCCAATCACAACCGGCTTCACCTTTTGGGACTATTAACTTAGGTGATTTTTAAATGCAAACGTTGTATTATGTGTAAACTTTTAACATTTTCAGTTAGGCATGTATTAGTAACTTGAGTTTGAACATTGCTATGATCTGTTCAGTTGTTATCACTTATTACACATTCATTTGAATATCGCAACGCGAATTTGACTATTATGTG